CAACACCTTATACTCTTTCAAGTGCCTATGACTTTAATTTGTATCTCTCTAATTAATCAAAGTCATACCAGTCTTGTTTCATCTATGATCCCTCAAAGATAACCGACTAGAGACATTTAGGACAATCACTATAGTTTGTCCAAGGATACAGTTATCATATTGAACATGCAATTGTTATGATAACAAAAGAGAAATTCATTAAATAACAATGTGTATAGTATAATGATTGGCCCTAAAGCACAATTTCTAATAGAGCATACCTTCTGTTATGTATAAACTCTTACTTTATCATATTTGATTAACATTAAGCCAATTAACTTGGTTTTAGTTAAGAAAGCTTGAAATGTATAAAATTTTTCTTTATTTTGTAATCATCAAAACTAGGGTTCAACAGCTTTATACCCATAAGGCTAGAGGAACTAATAACACATGAAGTAGGAGTAGGATTGATAGTCTTTTTCCTACCTTTGAGGCTAGACTCGTACTATTGCTACTAGTAGTACGAGTCTAGCCTCAAAGGTAGGAAAAAGACTATCAATCCTCTTATCATGTTTGACAAGCCTATTGTAGAATTATTACGATGGATACATGATTGTATAGACAAGCAATTGGAAGAGAGTCAGAGGTTCTATGTGCTTTCACTTGAAGCTTTAGAGCATCAAGAAAAGAAGAGCCAATAAGTGATAATGTAGGCCCTTCAAGAAAATATGAGGAAATAGTTTCATTACAAAGGGAAGGGTGTAATATCCTAAGTTTCTAATCTTGAGTTAATGACTAATTATGAGATGAATTAGTAATTTAATACGAGATTAGGGTTCTAGATTGTGAAGTGTTATTTTAACCCATTAGGGTATTATATGAACAGTTATGAGTGAAAGAGTGGAGTCCTAAAGCAGAGCGTGTGAGTGCAGTGAGAATTTTCCTCACCATGTCACGTTTCTTGGTGGAGAGTGGATGTGCCATGATGTATGGTGCAAAACTCTAATAAGTTAGGGCGTGTCCAGCTCATGAAACAAAAGGGAAGAGCAAGAAAAAAGGGTTCTGGCATGGAGAAGAGAACAACATCTACTAGGGCTTTGATTTTTAGGAGCAAGAGTGATGTTTTTGACCTGTTACTTATCATGTAAGTCTTGTACTGCCTTAACCTTTAATTCTACCCTATTTTCTATTAGTTTTAACTAGTGAAAAATTAAATTTGGAAGTTTTAAGGAGTTGATTTCTTACCCTATAGTAATAGAAAGGTTCTCCAAAACTAAACTATTACTTTGTGACTAGTTTGAGTCAAGACGATAAAGCTTTGAAGCTATAGGCACGATTTGACCTAATCTAGACAAAGAGTAGTAAGAGAAATTTGGCTAGGAAAATGTTAAAGCTAGTAATGAAGGATAATTAGTTGTAATACACGTAACTGAGTGTAAATTAGGGAAATGATAGTGATTAGATATTTAATTGTGATAATTGGCACTTTCTATTAATAGTAAAATTGACTTTGAATGTCAATTTTGTATAGATTCTAGTGTATGACGTGAAAGTAAGTGGAGAGAGATTCGAGTAAGGATGTTACATGGGTAAACCTTTTTATCGAACAAAAGAATTAAGGTAACCATATAGTTTATTATATTTATTAACTATTATAACTGTGTAAAGTAAATATGAAAAAGTGAATTTGTTAATTTATGAGTTTTATGCATGATTTGATATTGCAAATAGTTTTAGCATGGACATTGATTTGCAAAAGGAAATTTGAAAGGTAATTGGTTTTAAATTGATATATATATGTTATGAAAGTGTATGTTAAGAAAATGTGAAAGAAAGTAGTAGAAATTATGAAAAGAGCATGATCATAAGGGGTGAAAGTTCACCCAGGATATGTGGGGATATATATATGTGTATGGAAAAGTTAGTGAAAAATTCATATAGTTGGGTTGGCACTATAGGACATCTGCTGCAACATTATACAGGCTGTTGCCATGGGATATTTAGGCAGTCTGGCAACTCCCTAGCGCCCATTAGGGTGCTGTTAAGAGTCAACGACGCCTCTATTACAAGTGTTTGACGAGGGAAACTATAGTCTGTAAGTAGGTTAGATTACCTTTGGCCGGGTGTTTCTACTACCAAAAGTATGTTCGGGTCAACAAGTGATTGATTTAGGAGAGCCTATGGTTTCGTGTCGGGAAGCATTAGAGGTTCGGTGGTTAGATGATCATCCTAGTGTGTATTATGTGGAAATACTTTGAAAAGATGAAATTTCTTCTTACTTTATAATATATATTTGGTATTAATGTAGTTTTGTTATTTTGGCATGGTTATTTATGCTAATAGACATTAAATGAACTATATTGGTTACTGAAATTTTTATCTCACCCATGGTTATTTACATTTTTTAGGTTCTAGCACTAGTAGTTCGAAGGCAAAAGACATTGGTTGAGTTGAGATCTCTCATTTAAGCCTTTGTAAGGATTTGGTGTATGAATCTATAAATTGTTAGATAAGAACGCGTATAAGTTGCCTTAGGAATCAAGACATGTGCATAGCATGTTGAATATGGTGTTTTGTTAGTTTTAAACTCCTTAGCCCTTGTATATATGTAAATGGTGAAATGATAGAGTGGGCTAGTGGATGAATGTGTATGTGTGTGAATATGGGATGCTTGAAGTGTATGTGTGATGATTTGGCCTTGTATGAGATAAAGAATGAGAAATGAGATTTAGCCTAAGAGTGCGATATGGGCAGTATACAAGCCAAATATGTGTATGTGTGTTATATTGTGCATGTATATGGTCAATCAGGTGTGTATTGTCCATTTGGATGTGGTCAAAGCCTAAAAAGTGGCTAATGATGTTTGTTTCAAATTGAGACATTCGAGTAGCAAAATTTTGGCATAAAACAGTCAAAATGCACTTGGGTATCCAATTTTTGATAGAAATATTGGATTGAATTGAAACTAGTGTCATTAGTTAGATTTTAAAGCAAGCTTCATGTGGGCACTTAAACCACCCCAATTGGATATCAGATGCAAAAATGGCGCACATCTAAAGTTCGCATCAGAAATCTGCAAAATGATAGCAGACTTAGGTGTGTGCACTGTGGCACATGTATTTGCATGCTACGGCATATGGTATAGGGTGAGCAACTAGGCGCACAGTCCCAGACTTGACTTAATTTGTTTGTAATGCACATGTTTTCTTGTTCTTTGATGCACTTATTACTTGTTGCTTCCACTGTGTGTTATGGTTTTATAACCTGAGTAAGTTATGAGATGATTTCTGCAAATGTTTTCTTAGGATCCTAAAGTTTTCAAGGTTTTCAAACTTTCAAAATAAATGATTTTGAATTGATTAGGATTGATTGTAGTGGAACGTACGGTAATGTCAGTGAGGGCATTACAAGGGTTCAAATTTTGTGCCTTCTAAGGAGCAACTCCTAAGGAGTAATCCAAATGCAAGCCTTTGGGGTCGTGTACATGTAAGGGACAATCTTAGCCCTCATATTTTTGCTGACACTATTCTTATAGATAATCCTTTGTATTACCTATAGGAACCTAATACCAGTAGCCTAAGAGGCATAAAAGTGATCTTAGAACAAACTAACATTCCACTTTCGCAAGACTAACTAGTAACAGTAGATGTGCTGAAGGATGCAATACAAGACATCTACGGGCTTTGGTTAAGACCAATAAGGTAGCTTACTTATGCCAAACCATATCCTGAATACATGTACTAAGAAAATCCTTATCCCAGGGGCTATCCTATTCCAAACTTTACATTGTTCTTAAAAGATGGCACCCAATTGACCTTGGTGCACATTAAAAGATTCACCATCCAATATGGAGATATTGCCAATTATGAAAACTTAGGCAAATTGAAGCTAAGGCTATTCCTAAACTCCCTCATGGAAGCATATGTCACTTATACTTCAAAATTACTAAGTTAACACTAATATAGTACCAATGGAAACCTAAGTTATTCTTTACTAAGGAGGCTAACTAAGGTTACTGAAGGCTAACTAGCATGACTTCATTAATAAATGCAAAGCCTAGCGACTGATTCAGAAACGTTGAGGGGAAAGCAAAGAGAGACATATAATGAAGATATCTTAAACAAAGCTTGCGTAGGTGTCCTCATACGCTGTTTGTTGTTGAGCTTATTCAACGCTGAATCAATCTTCTATATTACTTTTCTTTTTCTAATAATAATAATTGTGTATAGTACGTGCATTAAAGGCACATGTTGAATTCTTCAAAATTCGTGGATAATTATTTGTGGGAAAACTATTTTTCCTCTAATACTCGGCTCTTTTAATTGACTTCTTTCATTACAAATGAAATTTATCATTAAAATATGTTTAGTTTTATATATTTTGTGCAGATCAACTATAAGTTTTATTTGTACATAGACGGGATATATAATTAATGATTTTGGATCTGGTTTTATTTTCCTATTTCATTTTTGGCGGAAATTAACTTTATTTTTTATATATAGGTTTTGACGGGATAATTATCTTAATTTGGGACTTAAAAAATTGATATAAAAAAAGAAATAAAAAATAGTGAGGAAAATATTAAATGTGTAATAGGCTCACATCATGTGCTTGTAATTACAACTATACAAGTGTATGGTGAATCCTTAGCTTAAGCTATTTTAGTATAAGTGACAAGCCTTAGTTTGTGACTAATATAAAACTCTAACATAGATATGTAGAAAGAATAATATAGCTAAGTGTATAAGAACTTAATTCATGTCAAAAAAACCCTTAAAAGATCATACTTCTAAACAAACCGTTTCAGGATAATCTTAAGAACCAGCTAAGGCTTTAGGTATTATGGTATTTTGTATAATAAATGACAATAGATCATGATTTGAATTTTCAGTCCCACTTGTTACGTTTCAGTCAATAGTTAAATCCGAATTTCCAAGACGCAAAACTGTTATAACCCCATGCAAACTCACCTATATATTGTGCCCTCATCATGCCATATTTTGAAAAACTGTGAAGATTCACATAGCAAAAATGGCTCTTTCTTCTTCATTTTCATCATTATGTTTTTCCATTATTGTTGCCTTATCTTTATTCCTGGTCCTTACAGGGCCGACCGGTTCGGCTCATAAACTCCACAAGAGCTTCTATCGTAATACTTGTCCAAAACTTTTCCCCATTGTGAGATCTGTTGTTCAATCAGTTGTTTCCAAACAGCCTGTTCTAGGAGCTGGTCTGCTTCGCCTCTTCTTTCATGACTGTTTCGTCCATGTAAATTACTTCTATTTCTTAACTAATATACCATATATCTTATCCCTTCTTACTTTTTGTCTCTTCTTGTTTTTTGAGATGAGTTTTAGTTTCAATATAATCATGTTGAAAAGATCTTCACGTTTTGTTTTGGTTCGTCATGTCATCCTCTGTGCACCGTTTGAAGAACAGGTCATGATGACTTGGGTGTGCTCATCGTTGGTGATGGATCAAAACGAAAGATGAAAATATTCTCAACATGGTTTGAATGAAACAACCATATGAATCTTGCCAAATTCGAATCCATGCTTTTTTATGCATGTAAGTCATATATATTCACCAAGTTCAAATTCTTAGATTTCATTTATTTTCCTTCCTTGGACTGTTCACAGTACCATTTTTATAGCTATTCAACTTGACCATGATGATGATGATGCTTCTTCATGACATACAAGGGCGAAGGGAGGGAAACCAGTAAGGGCTACGGCCCCCTTTTAAATTATTAAATTTTTGTAGTATTATACAAATGTTATATACTTCATTTCCCAAGATTTACAAAATCTTTATAATTTACATGTTTTTTTAATATCGATCCCTTTCATAGTTAAATCTTGGCTCCATCCTTGATGACATAATTAGTTGTTTATTTCAAGTTTAAAAAAAATAAATACAAATAACTTAGTCAAATGACCTAGGTCTTAGGAAGTTATGGTGATGTATGCAATGTCTCTTAGCGCGTGAAAGTTACCCCTTATGTCTTTTCTGTGCTTGTCTTGAATTTTCTTGTAATATAAATGATATATGTATAGAAAAAATTGTATTATGAATTATATATAATAAAGAGGAAGATAAATTATATATATATATATAGACTAAACATGATCGATGTGTTATTTATTTTACTCACCCTATTTCGTTTTGTAGCTCAAGTTTATTCGAAATATTTACCAAAGCCACGGAAAAATTGAATCGTTGAAACAATTTCTTATTACACTTTACTTCAATGAGCAAACCATATTTCAATTCCAGCATGGCCTCATCATAAATAGATTGTCGATCTCTATATCGAGCATTTTTCTCCGTACCTTGGATGCAATAAATTTTTGTACAAATGTTATGTATGCTGGGAAGTTATAGGGTTGTGATGCCTCAATATTACTGGATGACACTTCAACGTTTACTGGAGAGAAGACAGCAGGTCCCAACAATGGATCTGTTAGAGGTTATGAAGTGATTGATGAAATCAAGTCTAAGGTGGAAGCAGCATGTCCCGGCATTGTCTCTTGTGCTGATATCGTATACATTGCGGCTCGTGACTCTGTTGTTCTTGTGAGTTTATATTTCTTTGTTTTATTTTCAAAAAAAAAGCAAGGCAGGCACTAATGATCTAAGTTTACAAGATCAAACCCGCGACTTCTCACTTACAAAAAAGTTTACATGTCAATAGGCAATAAAAGCTGTTGACTGAGCTTAATTTTTATTTCTACAATACAAGTATTCAGCCAAGAATATTAATGTCCAATTGAATGGATCCCTGAAATGTAAGAATTAATCCTAAAGTTTCCTTAACTAAAAAGATATAGATGACCCATGATAATATATTTTACAAAAGTGGGGCCTAGCTATAAAATTATTTTTTTTTATATTACACATGCTTGAGAGTGGTTTACTTTACCAAAATTATCATTTGACTGCAAACATCTCAAGTTTTATATATTCCTAATCTATTTTTTAATTTTTAGATGTGAGACTTTTTTATCTCTAATAGGACCTACTATTAGGTGGTATATAGATATTGTTTACTTTGTTTTTATTTTTTATAAAATGCTAAACTTAAGTTTTGCTCCCCATTATATTGTAGTTTTTCATTTTGGCCCCCATTGATTTGGTTCTACATCTGTCCTTGGAATTAACCTTTTAGTTGACATGATTAAGGCCCTTTACTAATAAGATGACTTGTTGTTTTGGTTTCATTGATCGATTTCAATAAATTTGGTTGCAGCTTGGAGGGCCATATTGGAAGGTTAAATTGGGAAGAAGGGATTCAAAGACAGCATTCTTTAGGCTTGCCGAGAGTGGTGTGCTTCCACCAGGATTTTCTAATCTCAGCAATCTTGTCTCTACGTTTAAAGATCAAGGCCTCTCTATTCGGGACATGGTTGCCTTATCTGGTATTATAACTATAACTTTCTCTTTTTGGGAGTTAAACGACAACTTTGCCCTTAAACAATAAGGCCAGTGTGTTTAGGATTCTAAACTCATTTATAGTGCAATATTTGCTTTCAACATTTCAAAATGGTAAAATATTACCCCTACTATTATCAAATAGTTAACTTTGATTGTTAATCTACCAAAAAAAAGTAAAGAAAAGGACCTCAAAAATTATGCAAAAGGACATTAATTGATTAAGGTATTTTTCTGTAATCTTCTTGAATTTTTTTTTTGTAATTTTTTAGGTCTTTTTCAATATTTTTTTTATCCTTTTCTATAATTTGTTTTTGGTCAAGTAACAGTTTAAGTTAACATTTTTTAGCAGTAATAGCAATAGTGCATAAAAAAATGAGTTTAAGATTCCAAACATTCCATTACCTATAATTTAGGAGCAAATTTATGATTTAACCCTTTTCTTTTCTCTCTTCTTCTTTTCCATTATAGTATCAATACTAAACAGCCATGTTGATCATGCTTTGTGTTTAATAACATCAATTACTTTTATGGCAAAACAACAAACAAAATTAAAAAGTGATTAATTGCTTTTATCACATTTTCTAAACATGCTAACAGACATATTTTAGTTAGAGATTGATCCGATGTGCTGGTACTGTACTTGGCTTGTTTTTGTTTTGGGTTAAGCAAGTCAATGTTTGATGATCAGATCTAATTATGGGTGAGTTCAAGAAAAATTCAATATTCATAATTTCAATATGGAACACGATCAAGACAGACTAATGTCATCAAACTTGTTTATAAACTAAAATATTGAATTGTGTATATGAATTTTTTTATCTAAATATTTATGATATATGAAAAGACTTATTATTTTTATTTCGTATGTGTTGGTGGTGTACGGTCAGCATATAATGCAAAGAAAAAATTGTAAGATTATAAAATATATGAGATAAGATATAAAAGATCGAATAATAATTAATAAAAAATAAATACTGAAAAATCCATCAGTTTATATTTCCATCCCAAAATTTACTTCAATAATGTCCTTGAAAAATAAATACCAGGGTTGCACTTCAATGTGACAATTTCACCGCTGCACAGTCATGTCACTTCCATAATTAGGAGGGTGGAAAAGTACGTCTATCTATATCAATTATCAAATTACACAGTATTAATTGTATACTTAAGCAACACTTTTCGAACGAAGAAAAGTTTTTTTAAAAAAAAAATTGAGAAATATACTTATTTCATTTTGTTTAGATACATCTCACATTTTTCTTTTTAAAAAATATTTTTCTGCATATCATACATTGCATTAAAAAATAAATATCATATTTTAACTAATTTTTATTGAATCTAATATAAATCCCATTTTATCATATATATAAAAATAAATGGCATCAAATCACTTTAATCATCAAGCAATACTTAGCCCACCTTGAAACTATGGGCTCTAAAACTTTTGAATTGGTATGTCTAAATATTTAAAAGGTTAAACATTTTTCATTCGATATGTTCTAAGAAATTTCACTCATACACTTTCTTTTAACTGGATTTAGAATCACACAATGGATCAAACGGTGAAAAACATCAAATGATAATACCACAAATTACTTTAATGAATGATACTTTTGATGATTAGTAATTTAATATTGAGCTAAAGGACATTTTTTACCCTTGATTATTTGCTTCAAAATGTCTAGTATCATAAACTTACATATAGTACAATTTTTTTATTAACATTTAAAAATAGTGCACTATATCTTGTCATTAAAAAAGTTAACTTTGACCATTAATAGGCCCAAAAAAATTACAAAAAAGAATAAGAAAATTAATGTTGATCAAGTTCCTAAAATAATAGTTGGTCAAAATTGTATTTTGTCATTTTATGTGAGTAAGAAATAACATTTGTATCCTGTTATTTTATATGTAATTTAAGGGAGTTGATTGATATTAATTTTCTTATAAAGTACATATATGTAATTTATGGTTTCTTTTCTGCAACTTTTAAGTTAACTGACAATTAAAGTTAATTTTTTAAACAACAAGTGCTTAATACATCATTTTTTAAATGCAGAATAGGGAAATTGCACTATATGAAAATTTAGGCCTACCAGATGCTCCTGATCGAATAATTGAGGGGCAAAAATATCCTTTAACCTTTTAATATTTAATTAAGTACTTTATTAACTTGTAGGTATGAATGATTTTTCAGGAGGCCACACAATAGGGCAAGCAAGATGCATTACTTTCATAGATCGTGTATATAACGATAGAAACATTGACCCTTCTTTTGCCAAGTCAAAGCAACAGCTTTGTCCAAAGACTGGAACTCCAACAAATTTTATAGAAAACTTGGATGTTAGAACTCCTAATTATTTTGACAATAGCTACTTCAAGAACCTCCTCAACAAGAAGGGACTTCTTCACTCTGATCAAGCTCTCTTCAATGGTGGTTCCACCGATTCACTAGTTCAGACTTATGCCCAGAACAAGAAGGCCTTTGATTTTGACTTTGTTGCTGGCATGATTAGGATGGGAAACATCAAACCCTTAGTTTATCCAAATAGAGAGATCAGGAAGAACTGTAGGAGAGTAAACTAGAAGAGTTAATTAAGTCTGATTATAAATTTGAAGGCAAAATATATTAATATTGTGGGAAATTAAATGTGATAGCATTTGATTATTGTCATGTATGTGTTGAAGTTATTTATAATATGGGAAGACTTGTTGCATTATAAATGTATGTGTTATGTGTTGGATATAATGGCTTGTAACATTATGTTTAGTTTAAGTTTTGATGATGATAAATATAGATGAGTTAACTATACTTATGCCTAATTATTTTCATATATATAAAGTAGTTAACTATATATGACTATGGAACAAGTGCTTTAAAGTGTTTTTCCATATGATGTTCCATATTACATAAGATTTGAAAAAAAAAATTTGTGTGCATCAAAGTTATTTTATACTATCATATTTGTTTCTTATCTTAAATTAATTCTATATCCAAGAGTGTTCATCATATTATCCTTCATAACTTGGATATATGCATATTGACACTTGGACTAACTATTTTATTCATGATATATCATTTAAAGTTGTCCAAAGTAAAGATGAGAGTAAGCATGAAGAGAAACAAAATTGAGGTCATCATTTGCATGCTATACTCATGATTAAAGAAACATAAATATAAAAGAAGGATGATCCAAGAAGAGCTTAAGAAGAATGAAGACATTCATACAAGCTTGGATACACCTTGGAAACCTTGGACTTGATAGGTATAATATCATTAGGCTGGGAGTCTTTTTGTTAAACTCATTGATTTAGATATGAAGTATTGACTTAAAATATCTTAAATCAAAACATGCATTTTAGCTCTTAAGAGAAAGTGTGAGATATAATTTTCTATAATCATGGTTTTCATCTTTCATCACATATGTCTCACAAAGGTTGAAATGTTTTGATTACTAACTCCATAAAGTTTTCAAATTTTTTCTATTTACTTAAAATGGAGTTAAATTGAAAATGTCATGAACACTTGAAGTCTAAGCTTTGAAATGTGAATTGTACAGAAAAATAGTTTTGACCTTTGGTCATGTTTCTTATCATATCTCTCACTACAAAGATTATTTTAATATGAAGCATATCTAATTTTAAAATATACTCCAATAGATTTTCAATGATAGTTTATTTATTTAAAATAGAGTTTTATTGAGAAAGGTATGAACTTTAGAAATTGAGTGTTGAGATATTAATTTTGCACAACATTTAGTCTTGACCTTCATCCACTATTTTAATCATATCTCACACAATACCTTGAATTTCATTGTGAAATTATTTCTTTGAAAACTAAACTTCAAGATCTTTCCAATCATATATAATTTGTCAAATTTGGAGTTATATTAAGTGAGTTAGGACATTATGAAATTATGTGCAGTGAACCTGCAAAATCACGCTTGAGAGCAGCTAACACGCACGTGTGATTTAGCATCAATGTCCAAATCATGTGTGAAACCACTTTGTGGGCATGGTGAAAATGTACCTAGAAGCATATTTTTGCACTAAATAGCCTCTGTAAGCAAAATCATGTGCGAAGCACCTTGTATACACACGTGAAATGACCTCCAGAGCCTTGTTTTTCATTCTATAACCTCTGTGGTCCAAATCACGCATGAAGACACCTTGCTCCCTTGGGTGATTCATCTTCTGGACACTACTACATACAATTTTTTGTGTGATTTAGCAAGTTCTTTAGCAAGATTTTGCACCTATTCATGTGGAACTCTAAAACACGTGTGAAGACTTTCCAAAACACGAGTGATATGTCACCTTTGCTTGAGAAACCTCCAAAACATACATGAATCAGCCTTGGTTGCTCACAAGATTTTGCACCAACAGCTATCATTGTGCAATGTCTCTAAATAGTCATTTGATGTCTCTAACACTTATTTCACTTCATGAGCTATAAATTTAATGTCACCTTCTAGATTTCTTAATCATGTGATTAGCTATTAATTAGGGGTAAAGTGTTAATTAGTAAATGATTAGAGGTTTGGAAGATTAATTAATATTTTGAGTCTTTGGGATGTTGAATAAATAGATATGGGTGAAAGGACCACATTCTAAGGTGAAGAGTATGCACGTGGTGAGGATTTTCCTCACTGTGCCACGCGCTGTGGCACAAGCTACATGCACTGTAATTAGAAAGTAACTTCTTAAATTGTGAAGTAGGGTGAGTTTTAGAAGAGGAAATAAAAAAACATGAAAGGGAGAAGAGAGGAAACAAGGATTAGTTAGGGGCAAGCATTTTCAGAGCATTGGAAGGCACTTTCAATCGGTAACTTATTAGGTAAGCTTCATAGAACCCTTACTTCTGATTCTACTATAATTTCTCTTAGTACAAGTTATAGAGAAATTGAATTGGGAAAATTTTAGGGGTTTATTTCTTACCTAATAGTAATAAAAAGGTTCTCGAGAGTTAAATTAGACCTTTGTGACTGGTTTAGAGTTGAAGATAGAGCTTTAAACCCGCAAGCTTAATTTGGCCCTAATTTAATGAGAAATTAGGGTGGAAATCATATTTATTCGAAGTAAGATTGTTTGAAATGATATAAAATGATAATCGCATGGTAACTAGCTTAAAATGGATAAGTGGAAAGGAATGAATGGCTGGTTATAACCCTAGTTAGTAGTTAAGTATTTTTAGTCAATTGAATCAATTAATTAACTGATTGCACCAATTATGTGTAGATTGGCATAATCCACAGGTAGATTATGAAAAGGGGCTTGTAGTGATGCATTGGTGGTAATTGAAATTCACAAGTAACCTTTCTAGTGACAGAAGGGTTGAAATAACCAAATAACTTTCTCTGTTTGACTATGCATTGTAATTGTGTATGAGTATGCTATTTATTACATGAAATTATTTTAACTGAGCGTTTTTTGTGGCATTGTATGATTATTGAATGAAAATAGACTGTGATTGAATAAACATGTGAGATTGTGTAGTTATGTGTGTGTGTGTGTGGATAGTGGTGACTGGGAACCTATAATTGATTCGAAAAACATGATCATAGGGGTAGGGTTCACTCGTGTAGAGTGTAGTGAAAGTCCATATGGCATCATTCTCCTTAGTGCCTGACGGGGTGTAGTATTGGAGAATTGTATCTCTTGAGTGCCTTTCGAGGTATGGTGTTGGAGATTATCTCATTAATGCCTATTAAGGTATGATGTTGGAGATTTAGACTCTTTAGTATTAATGTGATACGAAGTTAGAGTCAACGACACCCCATTATGTGTATTGGGAGAAACCATAAACCAGAAGTAAGATAGAATATGTTTGGCTGGGTGATGTTACCACTGAAGGTGAGCTCAAGGCCAATAAGATTGTATATTAGTCTAAGCTAAGCCTATAGTTTTAAGTCGAGTGATTTAAAGATTTGGTTGGTAGTAATCATGCTATATATATATGGAAAAGTGGTGAATATAATGGTAAAAGAAGTGAAATGATATATGTTGATGTGACTTGAGATGAAGCATATGTATATGCTATGTTTACTTGTATATTATAATATACTTGCTTATAGTTGCATGTAGTAGTCAATAGTAGAAAATTATTCTATTACTAATATTATTATCTCACCCCATGATTACATTTTTACAGGACAAAGTAGTGATCAAGGCAAGGGGAAAAAGTTTGGACAAGCATAGTGGTTCCATTTCCACGAAACTCTTGAGCTTGTGTAATGAACTAGCTTAATGTGAATATTGTGTGTGTGTGTGTGTGTGTGTTAGTTGCCATAGGAATTTCATGCATGTTTAAGTTGTGATTTGTTGAGAAATGTAATTTTTGTGAATCTTAGCCCTTATGTAGAAATATGTGGTGAAATGAATTGTATGGGCTAAGATTTAGTGAACTTGTTGTGAATATGTGAAGGTGTGATTTTATGGTGAAAAAGGCCAAGTGAGCTAACTTATGTTAAATTATGAAAAGTTGTGTTTTTTGGAAAGGCCATTGAGTGGCCAAATTTTGATATGTGTATATATGATATAGTATGGTCAATCAAGTATAGTAGATCATTTTGGATTTGATTCAAGGCTTAGAATGGTCTAATGAGATTAAGGGATTGATTTGAGTTCTTGGGTACGCAAAATTTTTAAAAAAAGTGACTTTTTATACCTCGAGTGTCTAAATTTTGATCAAACTATTAGATTGTATCCAAACCTATCTCATTAACTAGCTTATGAGATAAGCTACATGTGGGCACTTACATCACTTTGATCGAATGTCGTATGTTAAAACAACACACGTTAGAAGTTCATCGTTTGAGCTATCAAATGACAATTGCAGAATTCAACTTATGCCTAGCAGCGCATGGTATAAAGAAGGTCAAGCGTGTAGCTCTATGCTACATGTCACAATGCATGTATTGCATGTCGTGACGCATGACATATTCCACTGCATTTGGCTTTAATGTGTTAAGATTTTAATGATTTTGCAAAATGAGTCTTGGACTCAAGCTTTTCAAATAAAGTATTTGATTACTTTGATATTTTTAATGTGGTGATTAAATTAATCCTTCCTAATATTAACATAATGTTTGGTTCAAAGAAAGGGAGAGGAGCGGGGGAGGTTAGGTGAGGGGAAGGGAGGGGAGAAGAGGGGATATGACTCAAAAATTCTTGTTTGCTTAGAAGGGAGGGGAGGTATTTTAATAATTCTTGTTTGGTTTGGAGGGGAGGGGAGGGGAGGTAGTTATTAATTGTCAAATATACCCTTATATATATGTGTGTGTTATTTAAGTACATTTTTTAGTTTTTAAATTTTTAAAAAATACGTTCCTAGAGCTATGGTGAAAATCGTGGCACAATACAGTATTTTCTCAAATAAATAAATTTTTTTAAAACACTTAATTATGTTAACATAATTTATTAAAAAAATTATAGTCTAGGGCATTGTAGTTATGAAACATGGTAGGGCAAAATTTGATAACATATGTATAGGCAATTCCATAAAATATAAAAAATATTCAAAACATCAAAATTACAGACTAACAAAATCCATAACAATATTCTCTTATAAGTAATATCATAAAATATAAAAAAATTCAAGATATCAAAATCACATACTAAGCTTAACAATGTTCTCTACAGTGCTATATAATAATATAAAAAGTGCTCAAAATGAAAGAAATTAAAGGCACATTCAAATGTCTTTCATAATGTCTAGTAGCAATTCCTTACGTGCATTAATA